CTCTTCAAACTCGGCGCAGGAGCAGTAAGATTAAATTTCGACGAGGCAAAGATAAATTCTCTGACTGCGGGTATCCATAATAACAGCCATGTGATCCAATTATCAGATTTACATATACGTAATTTGAGAGACGAATCCAAAGTCGATTAATTCAATATTTCGGTTTGTGATATGCTTATATGTAGCTTTAAGAAAAAAAAAAACGATAAAAGCAGCTGTTGTTTTTCTGGGACATTGTTAGAAAAAGAAGAACAATCGTACATGTCATAATATCTTATATTAATTTACAATGAAAATGAATTTAATCACATTGCTTCATTCATATGAGAAATAAAATAATAATAGTGATTATGGCTGAAACAATATAAGCTTAAAACAATTACTGGACGGCCAAAGAATAGCCTTACATTATATCGGCGGGAATCGACGAGAGGTGCGTTTGGAGTTCACTGGCTAAGAAATGTATTACGTAGGAAAGAAGTCGTAAAGGAAGCGAAAGAGGCTCGTTTTCTGCAGAACCGTTCTCACTTTACGCAGGCACTGTTTAATCCTAGGTAATATAGGTACTTTTTGCGGTGGAATTCTTTCTACCACAAAGTGTATAATGCTGTGAAATTGGCCCATTCTGGTGCCGACGTTTATACCGCTAGGAATTTTACTTTGATGCTCTTAAAGATGCATTGAGTATTGCTGGCCTCGGTACAAAAAACACATAACAATGTTTAATGTATCATATTTAGTCGTTTCGCGCGTGATATTACAAGATGGTTCTATTAAGTTAATTCTGAATTAAAAAGTATCTTTAAAACTAACTGAAAGATTGTGTATTAATTCCGCGTGCAAATGAATATTTATTCAGTACAGCAACTTTTTAAGTTATTTTACATATTGTAAATGAAACAATAAGTGTTTTTTTTTCACCAACAGAATTGAATATTAAATTATATTTTTACTTTCTTATTTTTATAGAAGAATTTTGTCTCGATAATAACGGTAAGCTATTATATTTTTCAAGATAAATTTATTTTTCTTACAATAACTTGCCTCGTAGAACGTCAGTACACTTCATTAAAGGGAAATTAAATGCTCACCTCTGGAGCAGCGAGAAGCGAAAAAAGATTTACGACATATAAGTCTTCTTCTTCTCGAAAACTCTTTTATTCTTTGCTTTAATGTTGGAAAGATATCGACACGGCAAACAAGTATTTGAGGATGATTTCAGTATAGCGGAATTTAATGAACCGAAACATATGAGTTTCTTTGCAAAAAAACGTCATCAATTAACTACCACGATGCGATAAAATAGAACTGTACATATCTGATTTTTTTTTATGAATGCAGATTATAACTTTTATCCTTTACATTTTATTTTGATTTTGCGTGTTAAACGAATTTTTCATAAACACACTTTGTTAGATACTCTCCCTATTCAAAGGGAAGTAATAAAAAAGCATTTGCAAAGTAATCGTGTATTGTGTAAATTTTTGCTCACGTATTTCTTACTGATTCTTAATTTCCACTAGTGTCGAACAGTAGTCTTTTCATTTATCGCCGACAAGCGAAAATTTAATCAGAACTGGGACGAACGTAGCACTAATTATTCTATTTTCCGTTAGTTATTCCGAGTTGTGTAATCCAGATTACTTCTAGAGATATCATTAATTTCAACTTCGGTAAGCCATTCGATAAGCGCGCACCATCGTTGCAACTTTGATATAAAATGTCGAGTGCAATCCGATTTAACGATTAAACAAAAATATGCCTCAGTGCATTGATATTAGACATATTTAACAATTTTATAGTAAAGCATTAGTCCATTTTCCGAAAATCTCTGTCGTGATTTTATTGTTCCATCTATATTGCAGAGAAAAAAATTTATTAATTTTTTGTGATTTGTTAAAAATCATTATTTTTTAATTTAATTTTTAAAAACAAGCAAAATTTATTTTTTTTTAAACGATTTTGTAACTTTTACAGACGCAATTTAAAATTCAAATACTAGTTTAACACAAATCACAAATGATATTTTATTATTTGTAAGATTCTTTTTGATTTATAGCAGGGTACATAGAGTATTTTATTTTTTTGTATACCTTGGACGAGAAAATCTGGCCATAACAATTTAAATGTAAGAAACCTATTTGAATTTTACGACTTAAAACTCATAACACATTGCGCCGCACTAGAGATGAACGTAGCCACTTCTCTGCTGACGAATACACGTATTTATATGTACCACCGGTAGCAACTCTTCTGTACGGTAAAAATATTTAGTTAACGTTGACAAACAGTTGGTGAAACGGATGCACAACAAAAGTCCGCTTTTGTACAGTCTTGGGTGAAAGGTATAAAATATATTTTTAGTGAATTTTGACATATACGCATATACATCTAAAATTTATTGTCTACTTTTACTTTAAACGCTGTCTAATTTGATATATATATATATATTTATTTCAATTTATTTAAAAATTTTAAACTAAATTATCAATAATAAAGAAATATGTTAAATAATAAAACATTAAAAATTAAGTTTTTTTTTAAATTTCTGAAACTAGAGAATGTTAAAAGCGTAGTACACACACATTCTTAAACTACTATCTAAATTATGTCTATAATAAATACTTAAATATAATTGATGTTAAGGTATTTAAAAAGTGGCCTATGTTTCGCTTCTTTAACAGAAATGATTGTCCTGTTCGTCACAATTTATTCGAGATATTTCACACTTTTGGTCGTGGCTGTATTTGGCCAAAAACGCGCGGCCGAAAAATTGTTGTATCCATACTGTAAAACGCTGCTTCCCGCCGCGTATCGAAACTTTTCGTCGTTATGCACGCTCAATGTCACCGCGGCGATAAATTGTGCCTCGAGTGTGCTGCAAAGGTATAGAGCGAGCGGTGTAACTCACGCGCCATTTCTCCGCGACGATTCGACCGGCGACATACCACACAGTCGGATCTAGTTCATGAATAGTTTTATATTTACCATGAATAAATTCATGAGGGGGGGACTGCACGCGCGTTTGTTACCGGGAAGCGCCGAGAAATCAAAATCCTATCGGTTTTATCATCTCGATTGATATATATGTGATATGTATATACATAAATCGGATTTTTACTTTAATATAGTATAATGTATATTACGAATCACACGTATGGAACGTAAGATATAAGCGTTTGTAATGTAAATCTCTTATAATAAAAATTGAATACTTCTCTAGTAGTATGAATTCTGAAGTGTAGTAAGCTGAAAGTTTAAAATTATACAGATCAATTATTATTAAACACACGTATATATTCTGTTTTATTTTAATAAAAAGAAAATAGAAACAGATATATTATATAATAATACAAAACTAACTTATTCCTGATGGTTTAATTTGTTTAAAAAATATTATTGTAGCAAATGCATGACTGTTTTATATTTGCGGAATAAATATTCTGTAAATGATCGTAAATATAAGTATATTTATGAATTATACTTTGTATTTACGTAAGTTCAACATTATTATACACATAGCAGGCGCACATAAATAAATTGCAAACGTTATTGCAGAAGAGGAAATTGAGCGTTATTCTGTTTTAGGGACGTATGCATATATATTGATTTATGAGCGTAAAATTGCCATATTTCTATCATTAAAATCTGTATGTTATAAACGTCAACGAGAATCTGTAAAAAAATAGAAAGAAAATAATTTTGAAATACTCAGTTTTGCTCTACATTTATGTACTATAATATTTTATATATAACAGTGGAAAGTTGCAGTCACCATTGATCCCTCTGTGTGTGCAGTTTCTCGCATCATTTGTCTTCATTATTTGCGTCTACTTGCCCGCCGTTTTATTTCGTCGTAAAGTCTCTCTCGGAAAAATCGTGGCAACATTCGTGAAAATTACTCCATTACATAGGAAACAAGACAATTCAGATACTGTCCTGTTTACTCTTTTACACACCGAAAAAAAGGCTTGGTTGAATTTATCAAGTTTTTCTTGGTTAGATATATGTATATTGGTAGCTATATATAACCATTGACTTGGTTGCCGTAACCACGTACAATTGGTTAGTTTGACAATTCAAACTTGGTAGGAACTATTGATGCTTATAACCAATGCGATTGGTTGAGGTAAACAAGAAACTGGTATTCCGATTGGTCACCCAGTATAAGATATTATATAAAATGAAAAATAATCAGAAGACATTTTGAAACAACCAATTTGTAAAAAATTTTATTTTGATCTTTTGTTGAATGTATTTGATCGAAACAGTGTTACAATAATTAAATAGGTGATTCCGTACAAAGGAAACGAACTCTGAAAGTATTATTACTGTGAGATTCCGAACAGAATGTAATAACGCATCACACCGAGAAAGAGGGCAAAAATTTGAATAAAAGGCAATCGGATGCACATGATATTGTAGAAACGAGAATCAAAATAAACTTAACAATTTTTTTTGAAATTATAAAGACATGTTTTTAAATTATGAAGATATAATATATACTAGAGAAAAATGTTAAAATAAAACTTTATTTTTATTTTTTTGTTGTGATACATAACAAAATGTAAAGTACAGAAAAAATTGTAATATAAAGCTGCGGGTGAAGTTTTGTAACGGTAGAGAAAAATTATTCTTGGTTCTTATAAATTATGACACGGAATAAATACATCTAGCTTTCTTGAATTGAGTTTTTAAGATTAATTATAAGAGAAAACGAAACAAACGTAGAACTTGCATTTTACATTAAAGATTTAAAAGTTGGAGTGAAAAAGAGTCGATAGAAAGAAGAACTCGCAGATTGTACAAAACACGATCGTATCTCAATTATTGTGAACACGTAGATAACAACGGTTTTCGAGAACAAATAACACAAAAGGCGAATCCTTTCTTATTGATTTTCTCTCGCTCGAAGTTGACTTACCTTAAAAGCTTGCTAAAAGCCTTGTAATACATCTCGTTCGAATTAGGTGGAGAAAATTAGGGCAGAAAATAGGCAGTTTATTTTAAAAGTACTATATTTATAATCCGTCTCATGTGTATCTTCTTAGTATTTGTATTGTAGAGAGTTTATATACAAATGTGTACACTCTGTATATTCTACACGTTAAACGTTAACATGTGATCTGTACATATCGGATACTCGATTAGGTAGGTTGATTGACCTCTTTCAAAACTGCGTCGTGAATATAGTTCTCTCGATCATCATAAACACGCTCTTGATCAATTTAATTGACTAATTTAATTAGCGATCTGGTCGTGGGTATAAAAGTCTGCGCACGCATGGTCGCATTTTTTGGTTTCTTTTGATACATGTCAACAACTTTTTGACAGAATATACAGCAATAACAGAACAACAGAAATAAAAGGGGGATTTGAGAAAGTACTGAATGTAAAATCCATTTATTTTATTACGAAAAGCTTAAAATATCACGTCAAAATAAATTATGCTTTATGCTTCATAATACAACTTATTATTATTCATTTATATCATACACTCTTCAGCTCAACAGCTAAATTATAAATTAGTAGACAGAGAAGCAGCACATATAACATTGCTTTTACATTTACAAGGAATTAACCACATACGGAGAATTAATAGCAGCCAGTCCAGCTGGAAAGCCACTAGTGATCTAATGGTTTGCACATAGAGCTTATAAAGCGGAAACTGGTGCAGCCGTCGCGTGCATGCTCGTCGTACTATCATGCTTGGGTAGTTATCAGACCGCGTATGATTTCAGACGTCCCCGGCGGCATTCGTAAAATAGACGCAAGGCCACCGTTTGTCCGATATTCAACTCACACGCCCTGGGACGCTGATGAAAATAAGTAGCGCGTTTGTGGACCGTGAACAGCTGCGCGTGTCAGCCGATCGGAGATACAAATTTGACACGATCGGGTGCGCGCGGGTACATGCATATTTATACGCAAATAAGTAAAATAGGTACGTGAATGTGTGAAATAAGTGTGTATGTGTGTGTATATTACGAATTATAAATGCACTTCTTGAACTACCTGCTGACCGAGCGCGCGCAAACTCACGTTTCCGTAGAAATCACCACATGTAAAAATAGTTTGCCTAATATTATCGTCGTGCGCGCATCTGCACATCATCGCGATCCTCTCTCGACGTCAATCGATGCCAGTCGCATTCCGCGGGATATCGTTAAACGATACTGAGAATTAAGACTCTGACTTTACATCTCTACTTGGAGTCGCACTTCAGTCGGCACATTTTGGATTAAATGCGGAACATGAACACATGCCTTTGTTAGAACATGACGCGTTTTACTTTCCACGTTAATCTTGGTTTGATCCAGCTGCGACGGATTCGTAGGAAGAATTATTGGAAGCGTCTCCCGGCACGTTACACGCAGCGTTGCTAAAGAAGAAGTATCGTTTCACGAAGTATACAGTACTACGTGATGGAAATACGTTCGATATTAAAGAAACACAATGTTCTATGAATCTTCAGTGGCTTTATTAAGCGCACGCTTTAAATTTCTTCCTCGAATTTGTACTGACATCGATAATTCGCAAGACCAACTGATGTCTAGCTGATAAAAATAATTAGTCGTTTCTGACGCACGGGGAGACTCCACAAACCACTTTATTCACGTCTTTCTTTGCGACTAAGCGGGGAAGACCGCAGGCCATCGTGGAGGTTTGTTCTTCTCATCGGTTCACGAGTGATTAATAGCCCTCGATTCCCGCCTCTGTTCCCAGACGGTGCTACGTGTAAGAACGAATGAAGTTCCGTTCCCGATATGTTACGTTCCATTAAGCCCGCGAGATTTCGCAGAAATCAATAATCGGTATCGATAAAACGCGTTTTCTTACCTTACGCTGCTTTATTATAGATTCAAAATTATTCGAACAATCGAACGAAACTTTGCCACAATATGATAAAATTATCCTATAGCAGAAATTATATTATAATAAAAATAAAAGTAACAGTGGTCCAAAAAATTTTAAGAGACTTGGGTTTAATATCTAAGAGAAGTGTTCGAAACAAAAAAATACTCGCTTTATTCTATAAATCACGTATATTTTTTTTTCCTTGCAAAATTAATTATCCTGGCGCGGGCGTAATATTACCTCACATTGCAATTTTAAGAGATATAATATTAAACCAAAGTCGTTATGTATACATTTCTAAAAGAAAAATTATGAGAAAATATTACAATAATCTATTAATGCAAATATGTAAATATAAATACTATTAAATGTACTTTATTTCAAGTGCAAGTTCAAAAGCAAAAGAATCCTTTCATCTTCTCCCGGAATCGACAGCGCGTTTTTCTTCTCTTCATCGTTTTTTCTCTATATATATCGCGAATGCTTCAGACTCGATTTAATCGTGCTTAAGTACTAACGCGAAGTTTAAGCTACGGTCCAGATTTTTTCTCTTTCTTTTATTCCGGCTCACAATTTATTTATCGCACAGATAACGTAAAAGGCAGCGATTGTTTATGAGACAAAAATGTGCTTCTCGATTGCTCGGTTTCAGTTGCTTCCGTCAGAAATTTATTCGCGCGATACCATTAACAAACCGTCGCACTTACCTGGTCCGCTCGACTAACTCGACAATATCTCTTTTTACTTTTTACCTCCGTTAGGAAACGCTCCAACTGTAAGCGGATACAGTTGTCACTGCTTATGTGGATCACACTCATATACTAACGACAACGTACCGCATACACGGCTATATACATGATTGATGTACACTCTTTTATCGTTTTAATGACGATGCGACTAACATCAAGTCCGCGCTCGAGAAAATTCACGTTTTTCTTCGAGAAAAAAAAAACGTGGTGACTCGCACGTGAGGTCAAAGCGTGTGCGCGTCACACTGTGTAGAAAAAACCAACAACAGTGACGCGAAAATCAGCCGTGGTGTGATTCAAACTGTAAAGCAAACACTAGAAAGGTATAGAAGCTCCGATCTCCTGGTCCAGCGATCTCTCCGTCATGTCGATTGATCTGACAACGCATCGGAGAATGCCGAGGGACGATCTAGCACCGTCGAGAGAGCTCTGAGTACCGACCGTTCTTCTCGAAGGACGACCGAATCTCCTCGTGGCTCGATTAGGCCAGGTGCGATACGTGGGATCCATGCTGCATCGCTCGAAGGCACTCCAAGCGATCGACGATCGCCGCAACGGTAGATGCGTGTGCGAGAGACACCCGCAGTGCTGCCAGGAGAGAGACGGAGTCCTGCACCTGAACACAGGTACCCTAAAGCCCTCCGGTGGTCGTAGAATCGGCAAGTCGTGCAGCTTCAAGGCCGCATTTGCTCGCCACGGTTTTGAAATCAGCGAATCGCCCGCCGTCGTCCAACCGGTGCGATTTATCGAGCGCGGCGTGGGAATTGAACCGTCGAGTCGAGACTCGGCGTTGATATTGATTGAATTGCAACCAGACGCGTCACTGATTGTTGTCGATCCTTCCAATTTGGTTGATTCTCCAGCGAGTTCCTCGACACGTCTCTCTCCAGTCGGATGGACATGAGTCGATGTATCATCGATCTCGGACTGCTGGTCGACACTCGACAATTCGCGATCACAGAAGTCATTGACCATAAGCAATTTCTCGCCCGATTTCTCGCGATCGGGCGCGTCGCGACACGTGGATCAGGAAGAGGAGTTTGCTTCTACGGTGGAACTGGTCGAGGCGTCGTCGTCGAGGGAACTCTGCGTAGCGACGGTCACCTTGTTCCCACTGTCGCTGCAAGTCGCCGCCGGATAATTTTGACGGGGATGGCGTCTCTTGTAGGGCTCCCAATCCCCAGGACCCCGGCGTCAGTGCGTCGCGATCACGTCCGGGGCGCTTTTTGTGCTCTCTATGCTGAACGGCCGTCTCTGGTCCACCTCGATCACCGCCTCCGCCCGATACCTCGGATCCAACGTCGGTTGAGGCTGTCGTTTAGTAGGCGTATTGCCGGAAGAGTGTTGCGACGTGCTGGACGTGGTATTGTTGGAGCCGTGGCCGGATCCATACATGGAACTACCGTATCTCTCGCCGGAACCCAAGGTGGCTTGCCGTATGAACTTAGGCGACTGTCGATAGACGCCGCTAGGATCTCTGCTGGGCTTGGGACTTTGGAATCTCTGGTAGGACGGGTAGTCCAACTGTTCTGGATACTGGGCAGTGTGCGGCATGGGCAGTGGGTAACTGGACTCGGTCGTCGACCAGCCGGGTGGCGCCGGTATGGGATTATGCTTCGGACAGATACCCATACTGCCGTCCCGTCCGCGGGACGCCGGACTACAGCCGGAGCATTGAGAGATGCTCTGTTGCTGCGAGCTCTGTTGCGACGATTGCGAGCTCGGCTGCGAGGATTGGGCGCTCTGATGAGACTGTTGCGGGCTCTGTTGCGACTGCTGACGATGAAGATGATGATGATGGTGATGATGAAAATTGGTCCCGTTATGAGAGCTGGGAGCGCGCACGCCAAAGGTCGTGAAACCTAGAGGCACCCCCGCGTCTGATATCCGTGGTTCAAAAAGACTTTCTCGGGTTTGGCAGCAGTTGTCACGCATCTCCGGCTCCTCGCTGGACTCCTGCAGACGTTCCTGCGTAGCGTTACTCACGTTATTGCTCTGGTGAATGTCGGTGATATCGCTCGTGTTATAAGTCATCTCGAGAACAAGGTCCTTGGTGTACTCCTGAAGTATCATAGTGGTGGGTGGCATCAATTCCTTGCTGGGCAAAACTTCTAAACTGGGCGATTCGCTGCCATGATCATGTAGATCTGTTGTGGAAACCGAAATTGGACACGGTGTCGATTTTCGACCCATTTCGTCTAAACGATTCTCTCTAGATTGCCTTATGTGCTCCTATAAGAAAATGAAAAGACGAAGCATGCATAGTAATATGAGTATAAAATTTAATCTGCATATAAAGTTTATTAGTAATTTATTTAAAATATTATTTCGTTAATACGCTTAAGAAAAAAGTAATTTACAAAAATTGGCTTGGCTCATAACAATACAAACGCTTCAACTTTGATATAATGTATGAAACTAAATTATTTTATTATTGCTTGAGGTTTTTTAAAAGTTGGAAATTTCTACTTTAAAATACTTTTTTGGAAAATATAATTTTTTTGCCACTCATTCGAAGCGCTCTTTTAATTTTGTTAAAAAATACATACATAATACATAAACAAACTTCCAAGTTCATGATTTGTGTACACAAATTAAAATTTAATAACAAACGTTTCATATTATTTTAATTCAATGTTATAATACGAGTTGAACAATATACATATAACAAATGGCAGAGTACACTGTGATAATATAGGACAGAAATTTGAACGTTTATATTGGTATAATTATTATTTGAGAAAATGCAACCACTATATGTGTAAATATGTTATATGTGTACATATGCTGAAATATTATCCTGCCTTTCTACGCGATCTAATTAAATAAATGCAACAGTATTTAATAGCTTGTTATAAAATAAGAGATCTGATTTTGTCATTAAGAAGATTAAGTCTGGTTTTAAATATTGAATGCAAAGAAGACGCAGTTATAAAAAACGACAAAATTGAATTTTTACATTTCTTCGTGCGGACGTAAAGAAACGTCGAGATAAATACTTTCATCACTTCTTGATCCCGATGAGAAATAAAGACACCACATCGTCAAAGCAATGTCATGTCATCGAGGATCTATAAATTTTGCGGGCACACTGAAATATTGCGCGATCATAAAAAGAAAATGCTCTCGCCTTGCCGCTATAAAAGAACGTTTTGTCGATTTTTAATAAAACCTGCAACCAAGTCTCAATCATAATCAATAATTTTATATAAATAATACGAGATGTATTTACGAAGAAGAACATCCGCGGAACAACTTTTATAAAATATTTTCTGAAATATAGAAGAAAACCTTCGCGTAGGTATTTCCGTAGAGACTTTATTTTCTGATTTCTCGTTTAGTGAAGGTATGATAGGGCAGAGAGAGAGAGAGAGAGAGAGAGAGAGAGAGAGAGAGAGAGAGAGCGCTCGCAATTCGCGTTGGGAAAATAAAATTCACTCACCTGGATAATGCGGTGATCGCGGATGAGCTTCCGAACGCAGTTGAAGACGAAGGCAAAGCTCATGCCAAACATAATTAGAGAGAAAACGACGAGGATTATGACGATGTGCTGCGAATCGATCAACCGTAAGTTCTTCTTCTGCAAATAAGGAAATTGAGCGTGCCTTCAATATCCCTGATCGTTGCTTATTATGTTAATTTAATGTTAGATAGAAAACTGGTATTATACAAAGCGTAAACGTTTTGAAATATAAAAGATTTTAAATTAATTTAATTTCAATTAATAGCAACCTGTACCATATATTCGCGTGTATAATGAGTTGTCTCTGTATATTTTAGGTAAAAATAATTAAACATTAATTAGAAAAATAGCTTTTTCTTGGCTTCCAATTTGTAGGACTACAACCTCTTATACGTCATGCGTTTAATTTTAATTTGATGCTACACAGACAAACTTATTGCAATTACATTGTTTGTAAATGCGCATTTATAACAATGAGTTTGATATTGCACCGGTGCATTGAATAATTGTCGATATTTTATAATTCGCAACGTGCGGTTGCACCCGTTAAAGCATTCAAATCAAATAAAATATTGGAAGATGAAAGGGCAGTGTTAATTATCATTTTGTTCTGGTTGGAGCTTTTCCATCTGGGCTTACAGACGCAAGCTCCTCCCGACAATAGCGTCTCAAGATTCGCGCGGATTCGTCGGTGCACCTCGACATTGTACCACGACATACACCCTCTTGTCACCGTCGTTCTATCCCGTTTTCAACATTTATCGGTGACAGAGGTGTCGCGCTAAATGCCTTCGTGAAATTTCAGGAGAGCGTTACACATTACGCAGGAAGGGTTCAAGCGCAAAGGAGAAACTTGCGAAACATCGCGGCGCGGCGCATAGAATGCATGAAGCAAGTAGAATCGACGCGATCCATCTTCGTCCCTGTCTCTCCGCACTCCTGTCTCTTGCGTGCCGTCCTTTGTCTCTCGTAGAATGGCAACACCGCCGCGGATTTTGCCTGTTTGCTCCTCGTTTACTTAAGTGGTTGCAGCGTGAGAGTAACTCGTTGAAACGCTACTTTATATCACGTTTGTTGTAGTTTAAGCATAAAGTGTTTGCTACTACAGCACATTTGCAATGGACAAAGTGATTTCGCTTGATAAAGAGCGAAATAATCGTTATTTTAATAATTGTTCAACAAGAATTCTTTCACATTAATGTGGAATTTTTCTCGAAAAGATACATTCTACAAGATTAACCATAACTATTTTTCCATTTAGATCTTTTCTGTCAGCATTTTGTATAATGTCTTATTATATGCCTCTATTTCAAACTTCCAGAATTTATATTTTTTACATTCAATCGATTCCTGCGTTCTACGAACGTATTTCTCAAAATTAAATCGCTTCGATAACATAGCAACTTTGCCTCGCACAAAACGTTGCAAATTTGCATACTTGCGCAAGTAGTACCGTAATTAAATTATCAAGTATATTCTAGATCGTGAACAAGACTTCAGCTAGATATAAGATGGATTAAGATCATGAACTTTGTAATCGCTCGTACGATTATCATGTGAATTTATTTGCTCAAAGAAGAATTTTCCAATTTTTTTCTGTGGAGTATTTGCGTGTATCTTAATTTTTCCCTCTCTGTACTAATTAAATAACTATTGCTTTGAAAATAATTTGCTCAAAATCCGAAGATAAGTAGTTTTGGAAATTTGATGTAAAAAACGTATCTTTAATTTGTTTAACAATTATATAAAAATATTATAGATAATGCAAACTATTCTATCGTAGGAAGTGCATTCGGTAAGTTCATGCTGACCGGGAAACTTTGCATGCGGAAAGTCCTGCGAGTGTGTATTACGCGACACATTGTAAGCGAGTCACGTTATATATTCAATGCTTATACAGTAATAACTAATTTCCGCAGACCGGTCTTGCGCGCTACTGACACAGAGTAACGTTTGGCCACATTATTGCTACTCGCGGATCCAGCTTGGAATGCACTGTTAAACTATAGAGTAATTTATATCGACGTCACATGTTGTCCGTGTTCGCTTACATGCTAGTTCAAAGAGATGCCGTTTCCCTTTTCTTCCGTCCGCGTATATTTCTCTGCGTCCCGGTGGTCGCACTATAATTTCCCAGCGTTTATCTCTCGTGCACTACCCAAGGTGAATTCGTTGCTCCGACAGCGAGAACATGTCCACCTAAATCCAGAATGCTTAACGCGATGGAAAATCAGTTTCTACGAGCGTAGAATAAGTGCAATGTAGAATTGAAATATATTTTTGGGATACCTGTTTGTATTAATATTTGGTACATAAGTGTTTCTTAATATTTTCTTTTATACATTAATGTAAGCACATACAATTATTTATTAAAATTTACGTCTTTCTCTATCTTAATTCTACATTACTCGCATACTTTTGTAACGTAATTACAAAATTGCAAGTTGTCGAATAGATTTTACTGCCGCTGAGCAATTATTAGGATCGCGCGGATATTAAATCCCCCTTTTCGTCAGATATGCCGGAAGAAATGCTATTATAACGCCCATCTTGGAATTTTTCGGCGTTATTTCTGAGTCGTTTTCATATCTTTCTTTTTTCTTTCTTTTTCACACATATATGCACTCTCTCTCTCCCCCCTCTCTCTCTCTCTTGAAGGAAGAATTAAGCTGTAAAGCCGTGATACTGTTCCGTATGCGAGCGTACGAGTAAGCGGCCGAGGGAGAAACACGGGAAGAGAGATTGCACAAGTGGATGCTTCCTTCTGCTTCCGTGAGTCAGAGTGGTTTATTGTTATGCTCATACGCCCGGAATCATTGCACGTTTTCGTGAATGCGCCGGTTTAAACGCCACTGTCGCATTGGAGAGCCCACTGCTACGCGCAACTGACACCTTTCGTCGGCTTTACCGGCGGGAAACTGTACGATAAACGACGCGGATCGCGAAGTTTAGATGTTACTTTCGACCGCCACATGATTGCACGAATATGTGGATAATTAATGAGGAATTTGAGAATGCCTCTAACTTCGTGAAACTTTATAAGTAATAAAATTGTGAACTTTCTTAATTGTATATAGCGTACCATTATAAATTAAATAAATAATTTTATTTTTATTATTTTATTTAATTGTTATTTATAGTATATACAATTTAGAATATCGAAACACTTCAATATTAACAACGACAATTTTTTTTTAATTTGGAGCCTATTCTTTTCTTAGAAAGCTTTCTTGCACGTTATTTGTAAAATAGGAACAGAATTTATTTAGTCAGAATTGTCTTACGAAATAAAATACAAAATCTGACGATCAATCGCGAAAGATATTTGTGTGTTATTTGTATATTGTTTACTATTAAACGTGATTCGCGAAAAACATTCCCAAAAACACGTTATTTTCTACCCACATTTTGTTCCATTATGTAATCGATATTGGCCATCGTACAAAGTGCATAAAACGACTGCCCAGATTTATGGTGATTGGTATCGATATAAAGTCCGAGTTTGAGCGAATTCGAAATATGTTCCATTTTAGCCCGCGATTCCCAATCTGGCAAATTCACTAGCATGATATACCATTTTTGCAAATGTCAGTGTGTGCCAGATTTTTAAAAAACTCAACGTGATACGCGACACATTGCCATTCTATTATAATAGAATATTCCACCTTGCATAATTCCTTATTGCGAATATTAATATAGCGTGGTGCAAAAATTTGTATAAAGTGACCAATCAGTTTATCGACGAGGTTTCGCGTGTTTTCACGGAGGAAAATTTGTACTATTTCAGCAATAGAAATTCTTGACCACGTCGTCCGCGAACGACGTAGTACGAGCGCGTAGTACGAGCTCGTACCGGAGAGATGACGGTACGGGAGCAATTTTAAATATTTCCGCTATTTATGACATCGTATTCGATGTCCGTAAATGCCAGCATTCACTCTGTAAATTCCGGTCGCAGGATGTTGCTTTTAATTATTAACATATGAATTAACTACTTTCACAAAAAGTTTATTACGTATATTCGAAATAGCAAAAGATTTTACGTAACCCTCGCACTTTATTTCTAACTCAAACATAAATATCTGACAATATCGACAATAGCAATCAGTATATGCTTAGAAAATAGATTGTTTAAAAGTTGCGATATTTGATTAAAATCATAAAAATGGCGATAAAGCATCGCGTTTCATTCTACAAAGTAGCCCTCCGGCAGGATACAGAACTATTCCATATAACACATCGCACGGGGTGTAAATTAGATCTACTATATTTGAGTTAGTAGAAGCGTGCTATTCATTAAGGTATTTCACGCAGCTCGGACACACCGCTCGGTCGGAACAGTGTTTAAGGTCAACAACTATCGTACATTCACACACATCACTCGTGTATCCCCACGTCGAGACCGTCGAAGTTCTACGTGATATCGACTACTTGCCATACTCTGTATAGACACAGTCTAACTAGGAATCCAGTTCCTATCTAAACACAAATCCCGCGTCGGATGCGCGACCTTCTTGTTTCGCCGTTTCTGCGAAGTCGCGTTTCCTTCCAAGTGACAAGCAATTTCTGAAGATGTAAGGTCACGCACGATAAAATTTACGTTTTCCCATCCACATAGGCTCCCGAGTCAACCCGTTAAAAGAGGCATTTTTACGGGATTGTTCACGCACGTAGTTCAGTCCACTCGTACTTCAATCGCAAGTGAAGTACGTCTGTTTTATGCTGCCCTCACGTCAGACAGTGAAACGAATTAATATCCGAATTTAAAGCCGGAGGCATTTAATTAATGTCATCTCATACAGCTCGACATATAGTAAAGTTTTATATATATAATAACGTTTGATACAAAATTCGAGCATTTTACGAGAAATTTCAAGCTTTTACGCTTTTTTTCTATCCCTGTATTTTGCGCTTCAATAATTGTCAATGAAAAAATGTAAAAGATTGTAAATTGGAAAGATGTAGACTGATCGAGATCTATTTAGTTTCGTTCAACCGGCACAAACTTCAAATCTCCTTATCTCGAGACAACCATTTTACTTCGCGATTTTACTTTAAGTTTATTATGTCTCGCCTTTGCATGGCTTCTTTCTAACAGTATTAGAAATATTTTTCAC